TATTACAATGAAAGAACACTCATGTATTAAAACTTTACTTTTAATGCAATAGATGATGTTGTTGCTTGTTTACTACTTTTCACTGTTATGGTACTTTACATGACGTCCTCCACCCCTGAACATTTCCGCCGTTCTTGGTTTTGGGGTGTGACAAGTTCTATTATTTCTGTCCCTATATATCAATTGTTTATATTTTGCAATGATTGAATTTGTTGTCATCATTCGTGTAACAAAAAAGTCAGGACCATTACTCTGGTTGTTTGTAGAAACTCATCTAAGTATTTTATATTTTTTGATAAAAATAAACGGCTTATTTGAGACCATGAAATTAACGAAAAGGAGGTTGCTTTATCTGAATGTATCTTGAACTTAAATAGTGATTGCAAATAGTTTTGCTTAACATGTGTTTAGGCTCCAGACTCCCATTTGTTATTTGACGTAGGTTGAAGAGAGTTAGGTGCATTTCAGTTATAATGTCTCTCATGGAAGGTGTACAAAACTTAAAAATTCCACTCGAAGACATACAATTGGCCACCAACAACTTTGGGGATGATAATTTCATTGCAAGAGGTGGATTTGGGAAAGTCTACAAAGGCAAAATCACCCTATCTGGACAGCCTATCACCGTTGCTATAAAGAGGTTGGACCGAACATTTGGACAAGGAAACCGAGAGTTCTTGATGGAAATTTAGATGCTTTCGTGCTATAAACACAAAACCTCATCTCTCTTATTGGGTTTTGTGATGAAAGTGGAGAAAATATCCTCGTATATGAGTATGCAAAAAATGGAAGCCTTGACAGATATCTATGTGACTCTAACCTCTCCTAGATACAACGCCTCCAAATAAGCCTTGGTGCAGCCCGTGGTTTTAATTACCTACATACTGATGTAGGACCCCAACATAGGGTTCTTCACCGCGATATAAAGAGCTCCAACATCCTCCTATATAAATATGAATTGGGAAGCAAAAATATCAGATTTTGGATTGTCAAAAATAGGCCCTTTAAATGTTGAGTTCACTTTTCTTGTCACTAGTGCTTGCGGCACCTTCGGCTATGTTGATCGACAATATGTAAGAACAGGCATTCTAACGAAGGAGTCTGACGTGTATTCATTTGGCGTAGTGCTATTTGAAATATTATGTAGAAGGTTGGCACTTATTGAAAAATATCAAGATGACCGTCGGTTTCTTTCTTCTCTGGCCCACGTGTATTGTGAAGACAACAGATTAGACGAGATCATTGATCCCAATCTCATGAATCAAATGAAAGTTGGTTCATTAAACCTGTTCTCAATGGTTGCATATCAATGCTTGAGAGAAAATCGAAGCGAACGCCCAACAATGGGTTGGATTGTTGAAAACCTTGAGAAGGCATTGGAGCTTCAAGTTAGTTTCATAAGAAAGACTCTCAAATTAATGTCATTTTAACTCTCTATTTCCACATTTGACCTTGAATAATTATATATTTCCTTTGATGCTAGGATTCTAGCAAAGGAATTATTCGAGTAGGAACTTGGGGAAGAACAAGAAGTGAAGAGCCTCAAAATAAATGGTCTTTTAAACTTGAGAAAGGCCTTAACCTGGTGAAGATAACTATTGACCATGGTGATGGAATATACTCTCTTATGTTCACTAGTGAATCTAAAGATGTTTTGCACGATTCCGACAAGTGTGGTGGTTTGGCCGGTGGAGAAACCGTTTCTGAGGTACGTACGTTGATCTTAATTCCACGAATCAATATGGATGTATGTATGTCTTTTTGAAACATAATCTTTGTGCATGGTGGCTTATTAAACAGGTCATCTTTGATGGTGATGAGGAAATAGTTGGCATTAATGGAACCATTGGTGCTCGAGATGGTTTAACAATAATTTCATCACTATCCTTTCAGACGAACAAAAGGACACATGGACCTTTTGGTCGAGCAACAGAAACTGATTTCTCTATACCATGGGAAAAAGGCTTGATAGTTGGGTTTTATGGCCTTGCTGGTTATTACATTGATATCATTGGTATATATGTTAAACCTAATGAGGAAGTCGTCAAGGTTGGAACATGGGGAAGAATTCTCCCTGGATCGCCGATTAACTTCTGGGATCTACAACTGCAGAACAATCAACATTTGAAGAAGATAACCATTAATCATGGTGATAACATAAATTTTCTCATCTTCACCACAACATATAGAAGCTTAATACACACCAAATGGACTGAAATAGATCAGTGGAATCTTTATGAAACGGTTTCGGAGGTAAACATTTCATAGTCTATTATTCATTTTCTAAATTTCTCCATTTTGCTATAATTTTTTTAATTAAACATTGTTTTTTTTTTAAACGGATAATTATACATTGTTTGTTTGTCCGATCAGGTAATATTTGGTTATAATGAGGAAATAAATTCCATCAGTGGAACAATTGCGTTATCAAGAAATGGTTACAGAGTAATAAAGTCAATGTCATTTGGGACAAACAAAAAAACCCATGGACCTTATGGTAATATAAGAGGGGAGCATTTCACTGTATCATTTGATGATGGTTCTTTTGCAGGATTTTATGGCCTTGCTGGAGGTTATCTTGATAGTATTGGTGTCTATTTGAAGACTATAGTATGAGATGAAGGGAAAATATATTTATATTTTTATTAGATTTATGATGCATTTTGTGTGGGTCGAGTCTTTGTTAACATCTTTAAATATTGTTTTTATATTAGGAATTTGATACTATGGATCTACCGTTTTGTTTTTGAATGTGTTGTAAAATATGACATTACATTTCATACACGTATTTCAGAGATAGGAGAGAACTCAAAAGTGAGTACACTACGAGAAATGTGAGCATTAGTCGCGACGCCTTTAGCGGTGACGCACACCGTTAGCGGCGACAACCAAGTTTCGAGTTGTTTGTCGCCGCTAATGGTATGCGTCACCGCTAATGGAAACACGTCATCAATCCGTGTCAACTGCCGAGGTGAATTGATAGCCGTCGATTTAGGCGTAATCCAACGTCAGGAAATCCATTTCGTTTAATACCTTTAGCGGCGACGCTTTTACCGGCGACAGCCTTGCCGCTAATACTAAAAAATTACCGCCAAAGATTCCCTCCAACGCTAGTCGCCGCTATTAATCCTTTCGTCACCGCAATTAGTATACGTCGCCGCTAATACTCGTCGCAGATTATACCCCCTTCATTCTGTCCCAATTCAGTGTGTGTCCCATTTTCATTTTTCGGGAGAAATCATTGCGACCTGCGACCTCGAACCGTCCAAGGCTTCAATCGGCGTCCAACACACCGGTGACCCACCCCATTACCAGCGACTTACCCCTTACGTCAGTGACGTTCCAAACCTCATCAACGACGACATCAAGTGTGAGTTTTTTCATTTTTTTCTCTTTTTTTCTCTTTTTCTGTTTGATTTTTCTCTTGTATGTGTATGTATGTGTTTTTCCATGTGTATTTGTATGTGTATTATTTGTGTATGTGTATGACTTTTGAAATTATATATGTAATTTGTATGTATGGAAAAAATGATAAAAAGTAGGTTGCTATAATGAAAAAAAAAACGTATGATGCTATAATGAATATGTAATATGTGTAGGAAGCATGTTTAAGTGTATTTGTATGTATAATGTATGTAATGTGTGAAAAAAAAAATATGATGCTATAATGGAAAAAAAAAGTAGGTTGCTATAATGGAAGAAAAGTACAATGCTATCATTGAAAAAAAAATTATGTATTTGTATGCAACTTAGAAAGTACAATGCTATAATGGAAAAAAATGAAATAGTTTGTACTTTACAACGTTTTTTTTTTCATTTTTTTTCCATTATAGCGTTGTACTTTACAAATTACATACAAATACAAAAACTTTTTTTTTGTGTAGGATGTATGTTTAAGTGTAATTGTTTATATTGTAATATGTTTGATGTATGATGTAATAATAAATATGCAATATGTGTAGGAAGCATGTTTAAGTGTATTTATGTAGAATGTAAAAAAAATGGAAAAAAAAATTGTGTGTTTGCATTCAACTTGGAAAGTAGAATGCTATAATTAAAAAAGAATTGTGTATTTGTATGCAACTTGGAAAGTACAAAGCTATA